CCAAAAAAAAACCAACCCCACAACAAAAACAACAACCAACCAAAGGTCAAACAACAACAAAAAAAAATAAGAAAAAAGAACTTAAAAAACGAAACAAATGGACATTGAGATAATATAGTATGGAAAGTCAAGTAACAGAATCGAAAAGCTGATGGGGTGGGTAAAGTTGTTCCCGTATCCAACCCGGACATTGGGGATTGCCTTGTTAGTGAGACAACTTCATAGGGTGGGTAGTTTCTATAATTACGTTAAATGATCTTATCTTGTTGGTTTGGAAAAATCTTTAAATAATTTGGTTTAGTCCCCAGGTGTAATGCTTCGTTTTTGTTGGTTGTTTAACATCTTGCAGAGTAGATTAAGATCTGTTCTTAAAACAAAACATGCATGTCAGAGATAAAGCTGATTTCTTTTTCAAATGTCTTGTCATTTTTTTAAATTTTTCTTTGACAGATAGCTATGGCTGCCTTAGGGCAAGGCTTCTGAAGGGTCCAAAGATTCCAGCCTGAGGACCGCACGCTGAGCAGCTGAGGGACAAGGCTTTACCGCGCATTTCGCATATTGGAATATTCGCTTTCGTTTTTGTAGAAGGAAAAGACGCTTTAAGTGTGTACAGTCCCTCAGTATCGGCTCCACTGTAGAATCTCCGAGGAGCAAGGGGAAGGGGAAGACCTTCCTCTCACGCCCTCCGGGGACTTTCTTCACTAGTTGTGTGGCAGTAGACGACCAGGTTGCCGCTGAAGCTTGAAGGACGTGCTGAGCTATAAACTCTTTAGAACCCAGTTCGTTGCAGATAGTCTTAATAGTATAGCCTTAGTGTTTTGAAGTGTGCATAAACTGTGTTGTGGTAGAGATAATTTCCGCTACTTTTGGATCTTACAGCTTTGCTTACAGTGTTCTCCAAGTTGAAAAGGTGCAAAAGACTTAGTAGTTGCTGTGAACTTCACTTAATCCCCACGAAATCTAACTAGCCCTAGCCACCTTCCAGCCATGCCGGCCGGAACAGATCATTATGTGGGCGGGACCAAGCATTTCGAATGCAGGGTCAAAGGCCACCCACGCCCGAATATACGCTGGTTCAAAGATGGGACAGAGATCACGGATAACCCCCGATACAAGTTCGACCACACCCACGAGGGAGTTATCTCTATGGTGATCGAAAACATTATACACGATGATGAAGGACATTACAGGTGAGCGTGAAACCATAGAGTTAATTACGTTTGCTTGTTGCTTTGGATTTCATTTTTGTATTTCTATCAGTCTGTCTCCTCCCCCCCCCCCCCCAACCTCTCCCCCACTTCTCTGTCTGTCTGTCTGTCTGTCTGTCTGTCTGTCTGTCTGTCTGTCTGTCTGTCTGTCTGTCTGTCTGTCTGTCTGTCTGTCTGTCTGTCTGTCTGTCTGTCTGTCTGTCTATCTATCTATCTATCTATCTATCTATTTCAAAGTAGGTGTTTTTAGTGTGTCATTTACAACTTCTTTATTCTCTTAAATAATCTATAATGGAACGGTATTGTTTCTCGACATGACAAAGTTAAGACCTTGTTCAAACCAGATTTCTCTACCTGTTGAAGATCTACGCTGCTTAGATGCTTAGACGTAATTCGATTGGGAGGGGCGGGGGGGGGGGGGGCTCCACCCCTAAAGTCCTGATTCTGCTCAAAACTATGGATTTTAAGTTGTAGGCATTTTTAGCTTCTACAGCCCCTCTTACAAATATTTCATAGCCTAAGACCTCCCTAAAGCCGTATTTCTTAATTATAATATTAAATGATATTTATATAGCGCTCAACCTCGATTAAAGTACACAGGCTCTGAGCGCTTTACAATACAATACAATGTACCACAGTAACATAAAACGTCGTGTTCTGACTAAAAGAAAATCACTCCAAATATTCATCTTATTAATTTAAAAACAAAAATAACTTTAGCTGACATTTGAATAACTCAAAAGATTTGATATCCCTTAAAGTACTTGGCAAAGCTTTCAAGATCTTGGGGCCTTGATATTCAAATTGTTTAAAGTTTCGTAGATGGTAAAAGAAATTTCTTTTTGTCAGCTGATGACCTTAAACTGTGAGTTGTAATGTACAGTCTCAACAGACTTGATAAATATGATTGCGCGTTATCATTCAAGCATTTGTGGATAGTTGCCAACTTGTACACAATTCTTTTTTTTTTTTCTACAGGAAGCCAATGCAATGTCCGTAAAAGAATTTGAGCTGAGTCTCGATTTCTTTACCGTAAAACTACACGTACAGCATTGGTTTGGACAGTTTGAAGCTTTTTCACTTTTCCCAGTGATATTCCTGAGAAAAAAGGAGTTACAATAATCGAGTCTTGATAAAACTAAACTAGTAGCAGTTCTTCCCATACCGGGCATGTTTGTGACCACCACTTCCTCATAAAGTCAGTCTTTTATTTTTCTTTATCGCGCGTTTTCTCGAAAGTTTTACGGCGCTGGCAACTAAATAAGGTCAAAAGAGTGCAGTCAATCTTCACTTCACGACCCCCTGACAGTCAATCACTTCTGGACACTATTGTTGACCATGGGATCTATTTGCACATGTTGATGTACAGGTGTTTTCTCGAGGATTACTCAGCATAATTATAAACATGTCCTCTCTTTTGTATTTAAAAAAAACAACAACTCCAAAAAAGATAAATAAATAGTTTTTAAACGATCCGTTCCTTGCGTACCTGTGCAAATGTTCGTTTACTGCATTGCGTAAATTTAATCACTGTGTTTTGCCTTGATGTCCAAATTGACTTACATTTTAGCGCAATGTCATGACGGTTGGGTTAATGTGTTATGTGTATTCGGGAACAAAATATATCATCCCCATTTTGTAAAACTCTATGTTTTTCTTTTCTCAGATGCCGTGCTGAGAACTCCGAGGGTTTGGCTTCCACTTCGGCTTACCTGTTTGTCAGAGGTACAGGAAGATAGTTCAATTGTTGTCATCTATTTGGAATTCTCCTACCTTGGTCATTGTTACTCATTATGTTCTATTGTTTGTTTCTGCCGTTGCATTTACTATCAAAAGTGTCGTTTTTGCCGTCTTCAGCTTTGCTTTGGTTGATTATGTCCTGATCTCAAGGTTTTTTGTGAAACGTCAGTTGCCGTGGTGCCCCTATCAATTCTTTCTTTACCATGATATAAGACTTTACTTTATCAAAATTTTGACTACGGTCTATCGTGTATTGTTTTTCCAAAGTGAACGTATTTATTCATTGGTTGGATTATTTCGTTATTTCATTTACAGAGGATTATAATAAGAGCGTTATGTTTTCTCTGAGGTTGAGCTATGACTGGGAAACTATCTCTTCACTACATATTAAGGACGGTAATATAGTCCAAGCTGTAAATTGATGTTCTCGCTCTTACGTTTGTCAGCTTTGTTGTATCCTAATTCTTTCTCATTTGTTGATGTCATATTATAGTTTGATTTATTCGTCCTGTATTCTTCTTACTTTTAGCGCACAAGGAGCACCCAGAAGAATCTCACACGTCCATCCATGCCATGGAGATCGAGGAGGTGGTGCTCGCGGGGAAATCTTTGCGTGGTGCCTCCACGAAAAGCGCAGGTGAGTGAAAGAATTTGAATTTCTTCCCCACATTTCAACCTTAATTTCGTTTTTCTTTGTTTCTTAAACCCTGGTGGTGGGGATGTGGCAGCCACTAGTGTCATGACTACTAGAGTAGCCAAAACCAACTTGCACTACTTAAGCCTCACAGTGTCGGAATGACTATTCAAAGCATAATATAATTTTTTTAAAGCATATAACCCATATATTTCCATATCCTTTGGAGAAACAGAGTTACCTGCCTTCTCTTTATTCTTCTCCCAGAGGGCTTTTATTTGGCACCTCACAAGATGGGTATTCGAGAGGAAAACTTTAAAATAAAAAGCACAAATCAGCTATACCAGTTATAATTCTTAGCACACGATACTTTCATTGTCAGCTAAAAGCGACTTTAGAAATATAACACCTTTCATATGTATTGGTGTAGCTTATATTATGTGACTGATCACAGTTGGTTTCAGGAAGTAGGGTAATTTACGTTAGTAGTATTGTCCGTGTTTCCTGCACAATTGCATTTAGTCCCATCGCCTTTATTTTGTTTATGCCCTGTCCCCTGTTCCAGAACCTCACTTTCAGACACCGATCGAAGACGTGGATGAAAGCCACTCCAAAGTCCGGAGACTCTCTGCCGAGGAGGAGGAAGTGGTCCGAAAGTCCTTTGAACAGGTCATCGAAAGTGCCGAGAGCACTAGGGTCATATCCTCATCTGTGAAAACGAAAGTTGAACAAGATTCTCAGAAGATCAGCGCGGATCTAAGAGAAAAGTCTTACCATTCATCTGACGATTCGGGTGATGATGTCGACTCGGTGAAGTTGAAGACCATAAGTGAGCGGTCGGAGACGTCCATTCATGATTCACTCTGTGACTTTGCAAGCGACGGAGAGAGGTCTCTTCTTATGGAACAGACCAGCAGAATCTTTTCTGAAGAACTGGGACTTAACGGAGAGGTTAAAACATCGGCTTCTTATGAGTCTATGTCTTCTAAGTCAGAATCATCAATGGTTGTCAAGAAAGAAACAAAAGACGGCAAAACTATCTCTTCAACTGTGGAGTCTTCTTCTTCCTCATTCTCTTCGTCCTCAAAAACAGAAGTAAGATCAACGAAGTCTGTAGGGCAAAAGACTGTTGCTGTCTCCAAGGAAGAGGTGGAGGAGGAGAGTTACACAGAGAGTGAAACCGGCAGTGAGGTGGGCTCTGTGGTAGGAGTAGACCAGGCCAGGAAGAAAGTGACCAAACAGGACTCCAAGGAGAAAGACGAGACAGATGGAACGACACGCGGAAGAGACATCTCTGGACTACTGGATGATGACAAGACACAAGAGGTGGGCACCCAATCACGTCTTTTCCACTTTTACATTAAACCAAGTGTTCAGCTAGAACGTTTTTTAAAGTTAGTGAGCCCTTTTTGTTTTTATGTAGATCTACGGCTATTCACTTTCATTAAAGTTGTTCATTTTATTAGCATCTGAAGAAACAAACAAACGTACACTCTTTTTTCTGTTGACGGGTTGTATGGAAAAAAGGGGAAGGGGCATTTCTAAGAATCGAACTGAACTCATGGATGAAACGGTGCTTCCGTTTTTTTAAAGTTTATTTCAGGTCCATTTTCAGAATAGATTTTCAAAGGGTGATCTTTTCTGCTAATCATGTCACTGGCGTTATTACTATGTGAGGGAACTGTCATGATACTATTATGTTGCAGGAAATTATCTCAGTACTTACGAACATGTTTGAGCACCTTATTTGTTACCTGTTTTTTCTGTGTGAGTATACAATAGAAGTAACTGAATGTTCAGCGAATGAAGCATAATGTCTAATTTGCCACCATTTGCAGATATAAAACTATAGTTCGATTGAGAAGCCTCAATGACGAAACCACAAAACACCTCATACAGTTTATTCGTATCATTTTCGTAAGATATGAGCGTAACTTTTATTCCGTGACCACTTCTAGTCATCTCTTTTACGAAACCTCAGGTGGTTGAGCAGCGTTCGTCTTGGGTAGAACAAGTGTCAACTGAGACGCAAGCGGAGAAGACAGAGACTGTTACAGAGGAAAGCCAAGCAGCCAGAGCTAAAGAAGAGAAGCCACGCTTAGTACAGACTCCAGAGAAGATGGAGGTCCAAGCAGGGAAGACACTAAAACTACGATCTACCATTGAAGGTAAACCATCACAGATCTTCCGTGATAGAAATAATATGAGCTAGTAAAGTGATTTTTAAAAGAATAGTTTTTAAAGATATGGACTAAGTAGAATAAAAACACAGTAGTTATAAAATGTAAATCTTTAGATGAAACCATTCAGGGGCTCTTAGAATGTTCAGTTTGAACTTATAATTCGAGAAAGGCCAGCCTGTCTGTTATGTCTTTAAAATAATATTGCTTATCAGACCCTGGTCTTGTATGGTTTTCTCTAATTCATTTCATGAATTGGTATATAAACAGTAGCTGAAATGCTTAGCGTGAAGGTTCTTTTTGCACATCGGAATACATCTTTAATAATGTGGCTCCTCAGCTTATGGGGTAAGTTGGAGACAAATGGTAAGGACAGAAGCTTCAAGGAATCTTGTTTCTGACCTGCTATCCCATTAGAGACGTAGGGTGATGATGGTGATGATGATGGCGGTGATGGTGATGGTGATGGTGATGGTGATGGTGATGGTAATGGTGATGATGATAAGCCCTATTAGAAGTTCTGACCAGGGACCTCTATCCAGCAGTCCTACACTGCTGAGCTAGCAACACTCTCTATGGAGGAGTTTATCATCAGGATGCATTATACCTCAAATATTTCGATATCCGTCTATTTTTTCTTGTCTTGCACCGAACATCTATTTGTATTGTTCAGGTTCTCCAAATCCCCAAGTCTCATGGTCCCGAGATGGACGGAGTTTGCAGGCGGGAGAACGCATCACCATGGTAACAGAGAATGACGTGTACACTCTGGAGATCCGGGAGACGGGACCAGAGGATGCTGGGACGTACAGGCTCACGGCCCGTAACTCTGTTGGAGAAATCTTTACGGACATCCCGGTTACTGTTACTGGATCAAGTCCATCGGAGGATGGGCGGTTAGAGTGAGTGGATGATTTGTCGGATTTGTATTAGAGGAAAATGTTGGGGGAACATTTTTAGAGAACCAGAAGCAAACTGAAGAGAGACAGATTGTCAGAAAGAGATAGAGAAAAAAAAAGAGAGAGAGAGGGAGAGGGAGAGAGAGAGAGAGAGAGAGAGAGAGAGAGAAAGAGAGAGAGAGAAAGAGAGAGGGGAGGAAGAGAGGGATAGAGACTTGAGAGGGGAGGAAGAAGAGAGAGAGGAGGGGTGGATGAGAGGGTATGAGCATGTGTGTGCGTGGGTGTGTGTGTGTGTGTGTGTGTGCGAGAGAGAGAGAGAGCGAAAGAGAGAGAGAGAGAGAGAGAGAGAGAGAGAGAGAGAAAGAGAGAGAGAGGGAGAGAGGGAGAACAAGACAATTGAAAGACGTATTGCATACATTTGCTGTCTATTTGTCTTTTCAACCTTCCATCTGTCAGTCAAATTCGATGTGTAATGTGGTGTATACTTAAGTTGAATTTGGAAATTAGACTGAATGGTTTACCATTGTGCTTACATGGCTTAGTGTGGAACTAACGAGGAATTTTTGGATTTCAGTTGTAATATACCTAAAACCAACTCCCCCCCCCCCCCTCTTATCTATCTCTCTCTGTCACTCTATCTCTGTCTCTCTGTCTTTCTGTCTCTCTTTCTCTCTCTGTCTCTCTGTCTTTCCGTCTCTCTGTCTCTCTCTCTAGCTGTCTGTCCGTCTGTTTGTCAGTTTGTCTCTCTCTCTCTCTCTCTCTCTCTCTCTCTCTCTCTCTCTCTCTCTCTCTCTCTCTCTCTCTCTCTCTCTCTCGATCAATGCCTACTCGGTAAATATAATACATTTCCAAATTATCCATCACTTAAAATATCAGTCATGATTTCCAGTTACCAGATCCATTTTCTCTTCCTTTTGTCGTGTTCCTTTACCAACTCTTAAATTTGTTACCCCAAATCTTCATTCCATCTCTGCCCAAACCTCCACCTGTGGATTTGGAAAACCTAAACCTGTAGTCTGACAGCATCTGTGAACATCCCACGGTTTGTGATGCAACCCCAGGATGTGAGCGTCTCCGAGTTCGAAACCATCAAGCTGGTATGCACAGTCAGAGGTGAGAAAATTTACGCATAATAATATCCAGCTGAGTATTTCTTTAATTAAACAGATTTCGTGCAATAAGGGTTGTAATTTGTAAATTTGTTTTCTGGGGTTAAAAAAAGGCGGGCAAGTTGTCATAAACAAGTTGAAAGAATAATTTCTGGCACTGTTATAAAGGGTGGTTTATCTTATGGGGATACAATCTTCTCTATTATTCAAATTTACCATCTTATTGCAAATGCGTACTTTCCAATCGGAAAACCTAAGGTCCCGCACTGAAAAGGCTGCAATGCTTTACTTCGAGCAAGGACTGGTCCACATTTTAATTAAGTGTAAACTGACCGACCAAGGTAGATTGTGTGACGTAGTCTGATCCTATAGGGTGATATTGAAATATACATAAACAATTAAACTTTAATCCGACACATAAACTCATTGCTGGTAAGCATGTGCTGCCAATGATTTCTAGATTGCTAAGGAGAAGTGCATGCAAAGTATAAGTGCAGTTTTGTACATTTCTGGAAATTTAAACAGAGTATCCAAGTAAGCCGTCGGCGGTGGTATTCTGAGGAAGTTATACCAGTACTTTGAGGGCAGCCGCCTCTGAGATTATTTAGATTGTGTTGATTGGGTGTAAAATGCGAATACTTTTTAAATAGAATAATATTAACAACTTCTCTACCAGGCGAGCCCAACCCAAGTATTTCTTGGGAGAAGGACGGCAAGAAACTCCGAGCCAACCGTCGCATGCGCCTGTACGAGTCACGTGGTTCTCACTACCTGGAGATTCCCGAGGCAGAAGCAGACGATGCCGGAGAGTACGTGTGCACGGCTGTCAACTCCCACGGCACTGTCTCCGCTACTGTACACGTCACAATAGAAGGTAACACTGGCGTCTGTGTCAGGAGTGTGCAGACCATAGTATGACTTAGTGGAAGTCAACAAGTCCAAACTGGTTGTCCCAGAGGGCAATTCGCACGCTGTTCACATTTTTTTCCCCAATTCCCCTTCCTCTCTCCCTCTTGCTTTCTCCTACTATCTCAATCCCCACCCACCCCCCTCTCTCTCTCTCTCTCTCTCTCTCTCTCTCTCTCTCTCTCTCTCTCTCTCTCTCTCTCTTTCTCTCTCTCTTTCTTTCTCTCTCTCTGTGTGTGTGTGTGTGTGTGTGTGTGTGTGTGTGTGTGTGTATCTGTCTGTCTGTCTCTCTCTTTCTGTCTCTCTCTCTTTTTTTTCTTGCCCTATATATCTCCCTCACCCACACACATACGCCCATAATTACACCTCCCCCTCTTTCTCTCGGTCTATATCTTTTGCTCTCTTCTCTATTACTCTCCGTGCCATATGTATGTATGTGTGTGTGTGTGTGTGTGTGTGTGTGTGTGTGTGTGTGTGTGTGTGTGTGCCTGCATGTATGTCTGTATGTCTGTATGTCTGTATGTCTGTATGTCTGTATGTATGTATGTATGTCTGTATGTATGTATGTCTGTATGTATGTATGTATGTATGTATGTATGTATGTATGTATGTGTGTATGTATGTATGTATGTATGTATGTATGTATGTATGTATGTATGTATGTAAGTATGTATGTATGTATGTATGTTTCCTACCATCCGTATCCCTTCCTCTCCACATATCCTCAGAACAGATTTTCACACAAGTGCACACTCGCCTTCACTGCCTGTGGCACAAATTATTAAATCAGTCTCATGGACAACACGTCGTCTGGGTCACAAAACACTAACGTAATATCTTTGCACGTTTCTTTTTTTATACGTTGCACCAAATGGAATTGTTGTACCTAGAACGATAGGTCATTTTAACGGATTCATTGCCATGCTCTGTTTCTGGTTTATGTCTCTTTTAGGCTTTTGAAGAAAATAACAGTACGCATAATTGAACTTAATGTTCATTTAACTCTATCTGCGGCTGTTTGATGTTTTGCTGTATTAACATTATTATGTCAAAAAATTCAATGAAGTTTTGTAAAGAACAGAAATGTTTCTCTATTCCTATCATACCACCGTTCATACTTAATATGTAAGAGGCGTGATGTCTAAATCTAACATTCATCTTCGAAAGTTCGACGGCAGATCATAAAGGGAGGGGGGGGGAGAGGAGCACATATCCAGCACCACTTGTACCGTTACCCAGTATGGCACCAACTAGTCTATCGATGCATCCTCTTATCCTGCCTGTCAAATAACATGTCTTATTAACTCAACACTGTTTTTCTACGTACCTCCACCCCTTTCCCCCAAAGCCGTGTCATATTTTTGTAAATGAATATCTCATAAACATATACTTTTCAGGCATGGAATCCATCATTTCTACCAGCGAATTAGCAGACGAGCAAGGAGCAATGGCGGCCGCCGCACCTCTTGACGTCACAGACTCGTCTGACGTATGTTCAAACCCTGATACCCGCACGGTTCGATACCTCAAACTCTTTGGAGCTGCTGCAGCCTTTTCCCTCGCGGCGTTTGGTGTGAAAAAAGTGATGGAAAATTTACCCAAGTAGTGAAGAGACTGGATGCTGCTGATGCGTTGAGCCCCAATGCATGGTTGTGCTGTGATACCTTCTTTTTATTGTAGAGGCCTACTTTTGTTTCGAAAAATTATGTTTTTGTTCTGTTTGTCATTTTTGTTCTTTTTGTTGGTTTGACTTAAGTTTTTGCATAATTTGCTCACACTATTAATTTATTTTCTGTTTTATCATCGTCACTTATTTTTTTTTTTTCATTTATTTTATTTGACTAGATCTAGATCTACATTTGAATTTTTCTTTCAATTATTTTATTTCATCGATTCTTATTTATGTATGATTATTATCACCGTTTTAGAAAAGCGGATGGGGGAAAGGGGAAGAGGGGGGAGTTAATCTTAATACATGGCATTTATATTGTAAAATAGGTGGACTGTTCTGGATTTTTTTAAACGGTCCGGTATTCAATAAATAATTAACTTTTTTTATATAAAGTGAAATGAATACGATACGGATTGTGATCTTTATTTCGATCTGATACTTAGTGTAATGTTCTATTGTTGTTGTTTTAGAAATAAATAACTTACCCCATGAGAAAATTGCATTCCAAGTACAGTGTGATCTCTAGTACAGAGACAGCGAAAGACGTAAGAACCCTATTAACAATTTCGTTTCAGATAAAATTTGAATTTGTTCATAAGTGCGCAGACTAAGCAACACTATTTTATTATTCGTTATGTAATGCACAGTAGTTATTAGTTTGGGAAGGAAACAGGGGATTTTGCGATAATTAGACGAAGAGATTTAGTGGCTTTAGCTTACTGAGGGCCCATATTTTTGCTTGCTTAAAAACGCGCTTTTTGGGGGTAAGTTCTTTAGTCTTACATATCATGTTACAATCTCAGAATTTAAAAGGCAGACAACATCATTCATATTATGAAATACGTAAATTCGTATTACTGATTTGTGTATGGTGGTTCGAAACTTCCCTCAACATTACATTTTGGTATGCTTCAGGTCGAACATAGTACTATGTCCACTTCTTCTTTAAAGAGCTGGGGGCTAGAGTCTTTTGTTTGAACTGTATAAACATCGCACTGTTTATTTTTTACCTCTTTTGTTTTGTTCTCTTTTCCAACCTTTAGACCAGAAGTGATTACTTGAATTATTTGTTACCCTGTTGTGTTCTTGGGTGGAACTAAATACATGTGACCTCGCATGACCCTATTTCATTTGCCGTGGATTTTGGCCTATGAGGCGTGTTTTTGTATACCATTGAATCTTAGAAGTGCATGAAGTTGTTGTGTCCTAATAGTAGTATGCTTATCTGAGTGTGTGCGTGTGTGTGTGTGTCTGTGTGTGTGTGTGTGTGTGTGTGTGTGTGTGTGTGTGTGTGTGTGTGTGCTAGTTTATTTGTGTGTGTGTGCGTATGTTTGTGTGGGTATGTTTAATAGTTTTGTGTTGTATTCCTAAGTATCTTTGCATGCCCTTTATTATTGATATCATCGTTATTCTTGGTTTTGTTTTTAATCAATGATTTGTCTCAATGCGGATAACATTTAAAAAAATGTTAAGTACTGTGGAATCCGTGCAAGACGATCACCCATTGCAGAGGAGAAAAGTAATCATCTTACACAAATTGCTCTTTTGAACAGTGTCATCCTTACTTGGTTACTTTATTTCTTGGCTAGAGTACAGGTATAATCGAAGGAGGCACCATGACATAGCTACGCTCCTCCCTGCTCTCTAGGATTCATGAAAGGGTTGACTTGTGGTCGAAAACAGTGTCGTTAGATCGATAAAGAGGAAACGGGAATTTGAAAGTGGGGGTGGAATTGGTCACTTATACAAGTGACTGTCTTGGTAAAGGAGTCTTTATAGCAGGTTTGACTGTGATATCTTGCTGCCTTTTTATTGACTCCGAACGATTCTTGCAACTCATTACTTTGCTACTTTAGAATTTCAAAATTCTATCTGTTCGGTACCTGGTTTGGAAAAATTTAACGCCAAAATGTTTGAGTTTCACAACATGTCAAGGTTTTTCGAATGCAATTCTTTGAATAACTCAATAACGACTCTGAGTAAACTTTCTATTTTGGCAGAGCAGATAGAATATTAAGCAAATAGTCTTATTAACGGCCAAAAAATATCAGATAGAACTTTGTAATTCTATGGTAGCAATTTGTCGCTATGAAGAAGAAAAAGTCAGATTACGTAATAGGACACGGGACTGACAGAAGTATTCTAAGAAGGACTAGGCAGAAAGATTTGGACCCGACTTTTATTGAGACCCTAAGTTGGTGAAGTTGAAACGATTCAGGCTGAAAGGGTCTACTGTTGAACAAATAGGACGGTTCTTTCAAAATACAATCGAACCTGTGCAAAACGACCACTAATTGCCAAAGAGAAAAGCAATTGTTTTAGAATGACAGCCCGCTTGGACACTGTCATTATAAAAGTATAGAAAAATAAAACGCAAGGAGGAAGTGGGATAGTATCATTTTTACAGGTAATTGCTTTGGGAAAGGTGATTGTTAGAGCAGGTTCAGCTGTATACAGGCGTGAATTTGCTAGATGAGTCGAAGACATGGACGGCTTTACGGAGCTTAGGTACGAAGTGGCTTCCTTTGAGTGACGACTAAAAACTAAGATTTAAGATACCAAAATGTTGTCTCTCAACTACGTGATAAAATGCTTATCATTATGGGTACATTTGTGTATGAATTAATAGTGAACATAAATTGAAATTAAGATAACATTATGAACTATCATTTTGATACCATCTATGCTGATCCTTGTTTAATAATGTGTTCACGTTTTTGTTGGGGGGGTTGTTGTTTTTGTTGTTGTTTTGGGGGGGGGGGGGTTGTTTGTCATTGTAGTTGTTTTTGTTGTTGTTGTCATTGGCAACCCTAATATCGTTTCTGCTTCTAGTGATATGTTGTTGCTACTGATGTTTATACACTTGTTGGTTTTTTGGAGATTTTAGGCAGCAACTCAAAAGAGTGTATTCCTCCTATATGACATAATTTTTGATAATGTGTTCAGTGCCATCTCAGGTCAGGTATGAATCAATACCATTCTTGAATTTGAGGTGAAATTTGTGAACTTGATAACTTGTACTTGCGTATTATATCGTATTATAAGCTGGTGGCTTTATTCAACCAAGCATTATTACACAGAGTTCCATACTATTTATTGTATACACATTCCTTGCGCATGTTGTGTTTGTTTGTTCCTTCTGGAAATGCAGCTACTCTTGTGACCAATAAATGGATGAATCAGCATGAGCATGTATGTGTGTGTTTACTCTTATTACTTGCGTTCACTCTTGGTGGTTTGTTTGAATCTCGGCTCATGACTACACAGCCAGGAATATTTTTTTTAACGAATTTTTTTAATGCTGTCAGTGGCAGTGGAGGATGGGGGATGGGGGGCAAAGAGTGCATAGAGATGCGAAAGTATCGTACATCAAGATGTTATACTGTAAAAAGTAAAGGAAACCGAAATACTGTGCTGAAAAATATAATATTATAGTATAGTTTCGAATCATGCAGACCATTGCCAAACGATTTGTTTTTAGGGGTAAAGGCTCAAGTACGGATGGTATTATTAATAAAAATGAAACTTTGTGATTGGACAATGAAATGGTCACCGACGTCTGGGCAGATGTACTGAAAGATAGCCAGATAGCCATTGCGATGGACAAAAAAGCAAACAGGCGGACAAGACGGCAGATTGATAGACAGGCTGGCACGTGAGCCTGTAGATTAGTAAGAAAGGTTCAGGATAGTAATGATAGCTGGAAATGAGTAAATGAAACGAGCACTGGAAGGGACGTACTATAATGAAGGTATTAAGAGTGGCATCGTGGTGACATGAGGCGCTCGTGAAAATATGAAATTAAAGAACTCTCATTTTTTCCACGTGTTGGGCAATTTTGATCGATTTGGGAGTAGGGGGAGGTTGGGGCTGACTCAACACCTTTATGTCCACTTAGAAATGCAGTCTATGCGATTCTATTGCAAACAAAAAACGTGATCAAAGGCATAAGAAATTAAATTTGCAATGTCAAAGGACAATCAAACTTGGTAGTCACCAAACTTTGGCGGCCAGCTTCTCACTAATTTTAGCTCTGAAACTCCACCTCCTTCAATCACAAGTCTCTCAACTTCCATTCAAAATAGATTGGTGTATTTTCATCATAAGCAGGACAATTAAACAAGCTTTAAGGTATGCAAATATCTCTATGTGCCTAAAAATTGACCTAAACCGGATGTCACCCCGTTATGACACATATTGACAAGCAGAATATTGTCAGCCACAGCCACGAAATACAATAACCCGTTAACAGTACAGAGAGAAACAGCTGTAAAGGATTTCTAAAAATAGGGCAATCTAAAACGCTAATATTGACAATTGGGGCCTTTGTGATGAGTTAAGAATATGAACGTCGTCTACACCTAAACAGGGAGAGAATTAGGCTTGATTCTTTTTCTTTTATGTGGATGGCAGATGTAAAAGGGTTTTTTTCCAAGTATCACGTCTCAATTGCAGCGATCTGAGCTCGATGAAGAGAAATCAGCTCGGATACTCTTGAAAAGAAAAAAAATGATCTCAATGTTCAATAAAGGCCAAGGATCACATAAAAACGGTATGTGTTTTGTTTATTAAGATTCTGGCTACAAATTTCATCTCTATGCGAAGGGTTCAGATAACACCCTCTTTTTGCTGTTAGACTCTCAAGTAATAGTCCCGTAATACTTTTAAGTTTCCTAAAATTATGAAAGCAAAAAGCAAGAAAAAACTGAAGCTCAGAATACATATTATGTCTACAAATTTACGATCTATATGACATAAAGGCTGTTGTAGAGTTTGTTGTCATACAGACATGGGGCAT